ATCAGGTGACGTTCAAGTATGGCAAACACGAATGATGAATCGGTAATAGCAGTGTGGTAGGGCTCGAGGGAGAACGAATTTAGATAGAAAGCTTTCAAAGAGCATTTAATGATGGTGACAGATAATGAGTATATGCTGTATTTTGAACTTTATTTGAATAAAAATGCGGTATTGCGTAGATTGTGAGCAGTAATAAGTAAACGAATAACATCTCGTGATAATTTTTGAGAATGTTTGAAGTGATGACAAATTCGAAATGTTATTGAGTGAGTTTTGAAGTGAATGAATATTTTGATGAATGAATAATCGGATGATTATGATGACGATGATAAAGAAAAGGGGAGAGGTAATGCGTGTGAGGGAGTGATGATATTGCTTATTTTGTTTGGGAAACACAGATAGAATCATTATTATCAAATCAAGGCGATTATTATTATCGTTATTATTCGTGAGTGAGCAGATGGCAACTGAGGCAAAATTGAAATCGTTGAACTACAATGATACATGTGATGAGAAGATGATGTTTTTATTAAGCATCATGATTTCGACACGATTACACAGTGTACATGCATATCATAGAGCATAGTACCTATCAAAATTAGCTCTTGTCAGTGATTAGAAACCCGATGCGGATAACTGATACATATAATTTTGATGGCAGTATGCGCATTTTTGTGATCAATGCAAAAAATAATCGTTTCTATTTGCGGAACGAAATGTCTAGTGTGTTCACAAGAGTTGTCGTTTAATTTTCCGTGAATGTTAGGGAAACAGTTTTCATTTTGTTAAATCCGAAAGCAATCAGACAGGCAACTAATGATCAGCAGATCAAATATAAATTTATGATAGTGTGATATTAAGGTTAAAGGAATTGATGTTGTTGGTGGTGTTGGAATTGCGGTGACCTTCAATGTAATAATGTGCTTATTCGTGTTCGTGTTTGTGAATTTATTTGAGGTGAATGAGGGGAATATGACCGCATGAGTGAGGGGAATGACAGATATGATTATTGCATGAAAGGTGGTTGATTTCGGGAAATATCATTTATTTATTCGAAAATAATATCATTCATTCATATTCATCGATCAGAATACGAGCAAACGAATGATATAATGATCGTAATGTGAATTTATTTGAAGCTATAATAGTAATCAAATTCATGATGATAATAATAATAATAGTAACAACAACAATAATAATCAGGGTCATAACAATTATGATTATCATCATACTGATGGCAATTATGAATTTTAGTATGCATTCAATGCATTTTATTTCCAAATGTTTGTATTTATGTGTTTAGGGTATGTTTGTCTCTGAGGAAAAAATAAGCGTGTGTGTATATGTTTTTGAATAGTATAGCGTATATCAGAGTTTAATTGCATTATTGTTGATAAACGTCTACGAGCCGATCTTATTTAGACTTTAGTAAAACACTTCTCCTCGTATACATCATATTGTATGTGTATGCTTATGCTCTCGTTCATTATATACCAAGTTACACTGTATTTCATTAGTTCACTGTCATTGTGATTGGTATCTTTGAAATTAATCAGTTGCTTTTTTTGATTGGGATGTATTGGGAAACGGAGGGGGGAAGAAATTCATTGTGAAATTC